ATCAACTCTGGTTTATCACATCACATGACATATATAGCGAATTTGTTTATTATCCAGGTTGGAACCAGTTCCTGCCCTTGCTAACCCAATTGCTTATTGTCAGTGCAAACCTCAACTCAAGCCAGGTTACAAAAACAAACGTTCAAATTGACATTTGAAAGACAATAAGAAGACCCAATTTTGATACCCGATCCAGGTTGGAACTGAATCAAAAACAAATTCGCTAATAGATAGGGGAAATGGCTCTAATGTTGGCCTATGGATCTAAGATTGGGCCCATCGCTAAAAATCTGCCACATTCATGCCAGCCACAAGTTATCGGGTTCACCCTCTATGTCCAACTGTGCAGCGATTTCCTCCTCGAGTAGCGTCGATGATGATCCGTCATCCAGGAACACGAAAGTTTCAACTTGTTTCCCCTCTCCGTACAGCGTAACTGGCAAATAGCGGAACAGCGAAAAGGATTTCGTGTGGTGATGATTTTGATGAACAGTCTCGCCAGACCTTGGACCATTAGTAGTATCATTGCGGCTACTGTGCAGCAGCATATGATGTCGAACTCGGCAACTATCCACTCCGCATTCCTTTTTCGAGCGACACGGCCATTTACGATGCGGTATCAAGCACAATCGGCACAAGTTCTTCTGCCGCATTACCTTCCATCGGCCTCCGATGTCCAACTCTTTGAAACTGGAACAGTTCAGGATCTGATGACCATCTTTCTCACAATACGAACACGCTTTTGACGTACATTCGCCGCTTGCACTCTCCTTCTTCGATACGCTTGGCGACACGTTCGCGTGAGTGAAAAGCTTTTCCTTTTGCTTCGACTTTTCCACTTTTTGGTGTTTGTGGTAGTTTTGGGCGGATTCCACGTCGATGCTTAGCTCGGCAGCAAGGTTCACTAGTCCCGACATGAAGTTGTTGAATGTCGCTAGGTTGACGTTCGCTGACGATTGTTTGAACGTACCCCACTGCATCTTCAGCGAGGTGGGTAATTTGTCGACCAACTCTTGTAGCAGCATTGGATTTGATAAATGTGCTTGCTGATCAGCCAGGATGATATGATCGACGAGATTTTGAATCACCAACCCGTACGCGACGATGGTGTTCAAGTTATCATACTTCGGCGGCGGAACGTTTCTCACCTTCTTCAGAAGAGAACTAATCAGGATCTCTGGCCTTCCGTATAGCTTATGCAACGTTTCCATCACGTACGGGACGGATGCTGGCAGGAGTAGACGACTTCTAACTGCCTCAAGTGCGGAACCTCCCAAGCTACGTTGCAATCTGGCCAGATTCTCGACGTCCGTGTACCCGCAGACCTCCGTCGTGTTTTTCAAGGAACTGTAGAACATAGGCCATTCCTGGGGATCCCCGCTGAACTTCGGCAACTCGCGTGGCATTACTTGCCGAGCTGCCAATTGGGCACTGGTCGGTCCCAAACTGACTGGCGGAGGGTTCATATTCCCGTAGCACAACGATGTTGGTATTACCGAGGGCGGTATTTCCGGTCCTATGACGGGATATGGACAACTTGATGGTGGGTACGGAAACGGCACTGAGTATCCGGAGTAAACGTTCGAATAGTTTGGAATCCCCGGTCCCAGACTTGCGGTGGTTGTAGTTGGTAACAACGGAGGATTTATGGGCATTGCTCCATTGGAAAAAGGAGGATACTGGAACGAACCAACCGTTGACGAAACAGGCGGATTCACGGAAACGAGAGGTACTGGTTGAAACGAAGTCGAAATCGGCAACTGTGGCAACGATGCGACTGTGGCAGCACCCAGATAATGTTGTGGATTTCTAATGAGGCCACTCGAACTATACGGTATCGACGGAATACCCCCGGCTGCACTCGAAAGCATGCCTTTCATTTCCGGGCACGAATAGACCGGCGCGAAGCCGTCACAGACGAGTGGAACGCCAGACCGAGTCGCTTTTGGAATCATCGGTACAGTCGATACTATCGACGAAGTAAACGCCGGCGCCGCGGCCACCGAAGTGACGAAACTTCCACCAGCTGTCACGACCGTCGTTAATGGAACAGCAGCAATCGTGGGTAGATGAGATGATGCGCTTCCTGGTATCGGTACGACATTCGACTCGTAAGACTTCGCCAGAGCGGTAACGTTCCCGCTGGGAACAGGAATGGTCGGATCCGGATAAAGTACTCCAAGATTCAACGAAACAAGGCTGCTTGAAGTTGAATGCATTGGTAATGGTACCACGATCCCGGGATTTTCCTTGCTAACAGCTGGGACTGACAGGGTAGCTTTCTGTCCAGACGTTGTGGGCTTCGACTGTCCAACTCCGTCTAGTTGGGCTCCCTTTTTAAGCCATTTTTCCAGCTGTTCGCGCCTACTTTTCACACTGACTCCGCTTCTCCTACTTGAAGAATCCTTCTCTTCTCCAATCTGCATCATCAACTCGTATTTCTGCCTCAAGTACTCCTGTTCTTCGTCGATTTCCTTCAGCTTGGCCTCTTCTTCCAGTTTACGGATCCTCTTTTCTTCTTCCGCACGTTTCTTCCTCAGCTTCCGTTCATCCTCAAGGAGTTGAAGGCTGAGCTGCAATCTCTGCGAAACTCGACTGCTCTTACTGACGGACGACTCGTTGAATGATACACCCGACTTCGATGCACCACCCTCCCAGTCTGTCAGGCAATTGTTGCACTTGAAACTTCTTTCCGGCTGCGCAATAGACTCGCTGACACCCGCGCACTGAAAGTGTATCCACGATTCGCACACATCGCAACACACCATATCATCATCGGTATCCGCACGATTGCACTTTTTGCAATGCTTTTCATTGCTAACCGAAGTCACACTGTTTTCGTCCGACATTTCGAGATCGACCTAAATTAACCTGACAACCGTCTCTAGTGAAGCTTGACGACTAACTCTAATGCTAACGACGATACTCACAACCGACGAAGGTGACAGAATCAAAAAAGGCACTGACTTTATTATGCTGCAGTTTCGATGTCGGTCCGCAATCGATGCGAATTGTCGTTGTTGTTGTTGTTGGTCGTCTTCAACGGTGGGTCGTCTCGCTGTCTCGCTGCTGTGAAATGTCCTTCCCGATGGGCAACAAGCAATCATCCAGCTCTGGATGAAAATCTTTGAAGGATGTTCTCGATAGTCAGAACAAACACCGTCTTTTAGTTGCAAACTGAGCAGCTTCAAAGATTTTCATCCAGAAATAGTGCGAAATAGGTTAGTGAAGCCATGGTCATCAAAAGAGGAAATCGATGAAGACTTTCACCCCCTTAATTCAGTCGTCATCATATCAATGAAAACTATCATCGCACCGCTTTTGGTTCTTGGGTTACACTTGCTGGTTGCAATTCTGCACGCAGGCAAAAGAACGTAAGAATTCCATAAGAAACACTTATGAATTTTCGCTACAAGAAATCGGTAAGAATTTAATTGATTTGCCTTATGAAAAATAATGTTGACAAAAAAAATAAACGAGAGCAGACTAAAACCGAACCATAGACGATGAGTTTATGAGACCCGTGTGCTTACCACTCGTCTTTCAACGCTTGGGAATAAGAAATGATTCAAGGGTATAAGAACTACCTCATGTTACCCGAAAATCATTCATTAGTCACGCTTTTGATATTCATATGTGAAGGACCACCAAAAAACAAGAAATTACACTATTTTCTAAGGTTAAAACAGCCTCTGCGCCGCCGCCGCCGATGAACTGACCGGCAAACAGGCCTAGTTTCATTTAGCTAACGTTGAGTGTGCACACACTGAGGCAAAAGAACGTGAGAATTCCATAAGAACTACTTTTGATCTTAGCCACTAGGAATCCGTATGAATTTAATTGATTTGCCTTATGAATAATTAATAAAAAAAATAATAAAACAGAGCAGACTGGAACCAAACAAGGGACGTTTAGATTACGGGTCTTGGTGTCTGTACCACTTGCCTTTCATCGCTTGGTATGATGAAATGTTTAAAGGCGAACAAGATCTACCTCAAATTAGACGTAAATCATTCATAAGTCATGCTTATGAAACTCATATGTGTCGTTCATAAGTCGAGCCTTATGAAATTCTTAAGTTTATTAGCCTCAGTGCATATCTAGAACATTTCAAATGCTCCTATCTCCATTGATCGATCACGGCATTGCAAGCAGAATTCGTGCTATTTTTTGTACAAAGAGGTTAAGAAAGAAGGTTTCAATCTAGCGTCCAAAACATCAAACACTTCGGGGAATTTTTCCGTAGCTAGGTTATTACCGAAGAAAACCAATTATTGCAGATATGACCTTTTAAAATGTTCATCTAGATATTCGTAATAAAGGGTGTATTTACATAAGCAGCTGTTACTTTTTAAGTAATATACCAAATGTCTTGAAATTTTCAGTGAAGATTCTATAGCCTATGACGTTTATTTTTTACGAGAAATTATAAATCAGCGTTAAAGCTAGATAATTATGTCGTTATTGCTGCTGCTGTATCTTGGAACCAACAATTGTTTTTTTTTGTGGAATATTATAATTAAAAATACTGAGCAGCTAGCCAAAAAAATCAGAACCTATCTGAACAAAAACGTTAAACGCTAAAAGGTTTTTTTTTTCCTTTATTAACGAGACTTTCAGCCTTAGGCTGGTTCATCTCGACGCTAAAAGGTTTTTTTCTGTCGCTATTTAAAGATTCATAGTCAGTGAATAAGTTAAACAAGAAGTGGAAAAAAATAAGTAAAAATCAACAAAATGCAGTTTTTTTTGTCACTGTACAACATTTTTAAGCCAACGTGTTGTTTTCTTGATACAAACTGAAGTCAATGTTCATATTTAAATCATGTAATATGTTTTACTTATTACGAGCTACCTAAACCTTCACCCTTGAAATTTCTCACTTGGTATAATAGTTGAAAAGTTACAGCAGTTTATGAGTGTGCCATTTTCCATGAATACACCCTTTACGTGTGCATTGTTACCGATTCGACGGTCGGTTTTAATCTCAAATCCTGACTCACCTATCGACGGGCGGATCAGCACAATCGGCAGCCGGTCGCAGTGCTTTCGGAACACATTTTCCGCCTGGGCCTTTGCGTACGTGTAGGTGTTCGGCCAAGGATAGATAATTTTCGTGGAAAGCGTATCCAACTGCTCCTCGTCGATGGCTTCGACGATGCGCATCATCTCCAAAGGGTCCACATCCACATCGTAGAACTTCTCCTCGACCACTTCCTGAATGCAGTTCGAGTAGGCCGTGGAAATGTACAGGAACGAAATCAATCTCCGCATTCCGAGTGCAATCTGAATCAGTTGGTTCGCCCCGAATACATTCGTTTTGAACGAGGCCTTCAGTGACAAGTCGAATCGAACATCCGCAGCGCAATGGATCACGATATCGACATTGTTTTTGAGATAATCTACGTCCACCTCGGTTAGGCCCAGTTCCTCCTGCTCCAGTGCCCCCTCCATGATGCGCAGCCGACTCCAGTAGAAGTTGGCATCCCGTGCATATTTCGTGTAGATCTGTGTGCAAGATGAAACATTTTCATATTTAGGCTCTTACCGCTGCTGCCCGAATGTTAAGGACTAAGCTTACAGGTTCTCGCTCCAGCTGCCGTTGCAAACGCTCCCGCGGTGTCCGGCCACGTTTGCTGCGAATTAGTAGCACTATCTCACGCACTTCACATTGCAGCAGCTTTTCGATGAACAATTTCCCGAGGAAACCGGTTCCCCCGGTGAGAAAGACGGTTTTTCCATCGAAAAAGTTTCGAATCGGCGAGTGGGCACTTTTGGCCGGATCCCGGACCGTATCATCACTGGTGAAAATTTGCTCGAGCATTTTTGGACAGGATTAGGATTAGAATGATTCGGACCCCGGTAGGTACGCGCGATTGAAACTAGTCGGACGTACTGAAGAGCGAACGTGCCGGTGCTAATTGTATGCGCAGTTTTTTTTTCTTCAAATTTCCAATTCACTTCATTCATGGGGGGAATAATTTGGAATGGTAAACAACGCGCAGCGATTTCAATAAACAAGATGGCAAAGGTCACCGATTTGTTGAAGGAAGAACCATGCCCACCGTCGCCGGTTAACGACGCATAGAACGCCCTAATGGCATATTAATCGTTTTGTAATAGACTCGGTGCATGGGGGGAAGTGTTTTTCAATGGGCACTACTTCGGTTTGAAATGCAGCACGATGCTAAGCACGGGAAATGTTCGTCGAACAGCGATTGGCAAATGGTGTTTATTATTGGTATCTGCACGTAATGGCCAAGGTTGAATAAGTATGTGCAGTGCTGAGATTTGTCATTTGTTATTGAAGGATTTCATGGGATGAACCTGCCTACGGCTGAAAATCACGATAGTAAAGTTCAAACACAAATTAAGGATTTCACGCGATATTGACAAAATTATGTTTGCCAATATCAATGCAATTGTATGACACTTGCCATCGTCGGGTTTGAATGGTTACAACAACAATTCGATCATAAGTGATGCGTTATAATATGATGAGCATGGTGGCCATCGAGTGACCATTTTTGCTTACTGGTCATATTTAAAAGCGTTGATTATTTTCTTCCTTAAAATCGAAGCCCGTTGCAAGCCCCATCCAAGTTTAGAAGCTCAAAATTTTACGCTAGGCAATTTGACTCACTAGCCACTTACGAAAAACTAGAAGAAGTAACAAACCAATTGGGATACTAACGACGATGTTTTTTTTTGTGTAGTTCTAGCGTCTTAAGAAATTTTTTTTAAACTCAGAATATCTTGAAATTATCTGCAAAAATAGGTTTTTTATTTTTTATGGGTACTAACAGTATCAAGTTTTAAAAAAATCCGTTACCTATCTGTAAATCATGTTTGTATTAAGAATGCAGCACGGGCGACATTGAATGTGGAGCGATACAGACAAGCAAAGAACAGACAAAACTCGGTTTTCCGAAGGAAGAAGCATCAGCAGGAAGACCGATATCGCAAGGCGATGGAAAATCTGTACCGCGAAAACGACACATGGGAGTTCTATGAGAAGCTAAGTAGTTCGCGCAAAGGCTACGTGCCGCAAGCCGATATGTGCAAGGACTTGGACGGTAACCTTCTCACGAACGAATGTGAGGTGATTGAGAGGTGGAAGCAGTACTATGACGAGCACCTCAACGGTGAAGCAGCAGAAAACGAAGGTGGCACGGCAACAGACCTTAGAGCACCACAGGCTACCGGCCCCTGATCTTCAAGAGGTTGAGGAGGAGATCGGTCGGCTGAAGAACAACAAAGCAACTGGTGTAGATCAACTACCAAGTGAGCTATTGAAATACGGTGGTGAAGCACTGGCTAGAGCGCTGCACTGGGTAATTGCCAAGATTTGGGAGGAGGAGATATTACCGGAGGAGTGGATGGAAGGTGTCGTATGCCCAATCTACAAAAAGGGCGACAAGTTGGATTGCTGCAACTACCGCGCGATCACGTTGCTGAGCGCCGCCTACAAGGTACTCTCCCAAATTCTATGCCGCCGTCTGTTACCATTTGCAAGAGAGTTCGTGGGGCCATACCAGGCAGGATTCATGGGTGCCTGCGCTACCACGGACCAAATTTTCGCGATTCGAAAGGTTCTGCAGAAATGCCGCGAATACAACGTGCCCACATATCATTTGTTCATCAATTTCAAATCCGCATACGACACAATCGATCGAGATCAGCTATGGCAGACGATGGATCGAGTGATGTGCGTTGTTCGAGTATCGGGAACACTATCGAGTTTCTTTGAATCTCGAAGGGGGTTACGGCAAGGTGATGGACTTTCGTGTCTGCTATTCAACATCGCGTTAGAAGATGTGATCAGAAGAGCTGGGATAGACAGGAGTGGCACAATCTTCAGGAAGTCCATCCAGCTTCGCCGATGACATTGACATCATGGCACGGAACTTTGAGACGATGGCGGAAACGTACATCAGACTGAAGGCTGAAGCTAGGCGCATCGAAGACAAAATACATGAGAGGAAGAGGTTCTAGGGAAGACACCCCGAGTTCAGATTGACGGTGACGAAATCGAGGTGGTCGATGAGTTCGTGTATTTGGGCTCACTGGTGACCGCCGAAAATGATACCATCAGAGAAATTCAAAGACGCATTATGGCAGGGAATCGTTCCTGCTTTGGACTCCGGGCTTCGGTCGAATAAAATTCGCTGCCGCACGAAGTTGACTATCTACAAGACGCTGATTAGACAAGTAGTCCTCTACGGCCACGAGACTTGGAGTATGGTCGTGGTGTTAACGAACGGAAGGTGTTGCGTACCATCTACGGTGGGGTACAGATGGATGACGGAACGTGGAGGAGGCGAATGAACCACGAATTGCACCAGCTACTGGGAGAACCATCCATCGTCCTGATGGTGCCTGATTGGTAAGGTATTGTGTTATGCAAAAGTATTTATAATACTGATAAAAGTGTCTACCTGGCTGTTTTGCCAAGATTAATCTGCACCTTACTTTTCAGGTTCTTAAAATTCTTTCCATTCAACTCAGGTTTATTGGTTGCCATTTGATGAATTTCTATTCACCTCCAATAACTCCACCCCATTAGTCACCGCAATATATCGATCAGCTCCACACAGCCAGTTCATCTCGCGGCAGTCTATCGCACTGCAGATAATTTGGTCATCACTCATGATTATTCATGAGCAGATGGGAATTTCCAATCCATAATGTAACCGGGGACGGTATTTTGATTGACTGCAATCTCCACCAGCGGCCAGTAGCAGAAGTCGGCACGGCGGCGTGGCGGTGACAATGACACCATCAGCGTCGACCAGCTAAACACCAGCTCCCGCACTCCCTCTGGCAGCGATGAGTAAATTATTAAATTCGATCCAAGTCCAACTTACGGGGCGGCGATGCGATTGCTGTTTAGAGATCATTTAGCCTTATTAACTTATAATATTATCTGTTCGATCATAAATCTTAATTACGATTATCACAACGGACGACCACGCGGCAGTGACAGTTCACCGGATTGGTGTGACCTCCGCCAACTTGAATGACATACTGCAAACTCACAGCACCGACGGCGCCCATACGAAGCCGATGTAATTGTGTGTTTATGATAAGCTACAACCAGCGGTCCTGATTTGCATTTTGCAATCATACTGCTGATCCGACCGGCAGAGCTCGATACTGCTGTTGTTGCCGCACGAAAATGGATTTTTAAATTAACATAAAGGAACAAGGTACGAACATGGCACTTGTATTTTCTCCGCCCAAAAGTATACAGTTCCCACTAAACGATTATTTCCGAGCTAGATCTGACGCCGCTGAAGAGCTGGAACTCTAGAACGACGTAATAAAATGCAAAGTATACTCGACAAGACTAAATCGTTTATTTAAAATAAAGTGAAAATTCCCAGCCCCCACTGCTGCTCACCTGCCAGTCGAACAAACCAAAATGAGAAAAATTTTACCAACACAGCACAAAAAATTATCCACCAACCTCCCTTGAATGCAGTGGCATTTTTCTTCTTGCTGGCAGCGTGGTCGGAAACGGCGCAGGTTCAAATTGCTCTTTCCCCTTGGTAACCTGTCACGGTGGTATTCTAATAATGAGAATCCATCCGGAATGTTCGTTTCTTTTTCTCCGTTTGGTCGTGAAAGTGCATAAAACTAGGCGCTGAAGATTGCATCGCCACCACCAGGGCTGGGAACCGTAAATATGTAGCTGCACCTTAATTACTCCGGTGGCCGGTGAGTAAGTGGAATTCTTTCCGAACGACGTCGTAATTGGATGGCTGGCGATAAATCTAACGAAATGCAATTTCAATTTGCGCCATTTTTTTGGTTGCAAGCAGGAACGTTGTGGCCCATATTGGGCTGGGCTTATTGGATTGGAGTAGTAACTTGCTGCATTTGAACTAAATGGTATGCAATTGTTTGGACAAAGCTGCAAATCTAAGATGGCCTTCAATAAGAAAAAGCCGAAAATTAGATGTCCTGAAATGCAAAGTTGCTTCCATAACAATAGAATTCGCAATTATAGGGCAGCGAACTACTTCGGAGTAGGCGCCTATTTCGTTATTTCAAGCAGAAAACATCAAAGGATTTCGATGTGAAGGAATCAAACATTCATTCGTATGGTAGTTCAGTTCAACAGCTACAATAAAAAGCCTGTAGAACGCATAGTATTAATCAAGGTTGCAAATATTAATTTCAGCTAAAACAATGTTTTTTTTTTTAAATTATGAAATAATTAGATGCCATGATCACATTTTGAATTGGTAGGATACAAGAAGAGGTTGCAAAGAATGTGTTTGACATATTAAACCTGTTTATTTCACTTCATGAGAGTCACAATCAGCGATCAGCAAATCGCTGATTGTGACTCATAGAAAGCAAAATTTACAGGTTTGATGTTTCAAACGCATACTTTGTAACCTCTTCTTGTAAGTAACAAGTAAAATATGCCATCACACCATCTTTTGGTTTTATTATTCTGAAAAACATTATTTTAGCTGAAGTGAGTATTTGCAACCTTGGTATTAATATTTACATCCATTCTTCTTTACAAAAAAAGAAGTGCTACTGCGCAAGTAACACAACAAACATCTTTTTAAATAACAATTTGAAAGTTTGTTAGAGAAACGTATTATAAGTGATGCAGAAAACACGTTTTTTAAGCGCTATGTAAATATTTTCTTGATGCTTCCCAGATTTTTACATCCATCAAAATAATATTTTTTTTTGGTTTTAATCTTTGAAAGTTCAACATCAGTGCATCTAACTTTTTTAATACCTTTTCAAAACAGGTCAGATGCAAAATCAATATTGAATTTATAAAGATCTTTCCAAATTGGCGTTGACAGCACCATCAATCTTCACACAATGGTGGACAGTTTCTTATAGGATTTTTCGGTGGTTTATCGTTAAGTAAGCTGAA